TTCAGCTTCTCCTCAGCTGCATGATGGTTTTTCTCACACTAACAGACAAACAGATCAACACAAATGTTCAGCCTGAAAAGCACACCAACATTTTTTGCATTTTTAAATGTTTTACTCATGCTCATATTTTTTTTATAACATCTTTAAGGACTGTTAAACCATAGCAGTCTGAAAACCACTGAGGCACTTGTGTTTTGTTTCAAATCTCTCTTTCTTAAAAGAGCTCGCACAGAGAATCTGACCTCTAACTGACCCTAAACTAAGGTAACTGTATATGAGAGCAAGAATAAAATATTAAAATCAAGCTGAAGACTGACTGAATTAATTTTATTATCTCTCATCTATAAAGTGTCAGTGCTTTTATCAAATGTTCTCTTTAGCTTATGACAAAATATGCAAACTTTAACAGTTTTCATTTAAGAAATTAACAGTATGAACCCAGGACTGTGTTGTTGCAACTATGCTAACCACCATCCTGCCTCTATAGCTTAAACATGTTAACATTATGTAAGGTTTTAATTTAAAAGTGAACATGTGATTTTAGTTGTATCTTTGGTGGATTTGTGGAAATATGGCTTTTTAGTTACAGAAGAACTCTGGACTCTTCTTCATGAGCAACTGTGGAGATTAAGAGTGATCAGTTGCTGGGTTTTGGGAAGTGCTCCAGACTTAAGAGAAAATAGAAAAAGTTCTGTTGTGAGATTCTGCATAACAAACTGCACAATGACACATGACAAAACAAAAGATGTGAATATCAGGACGACAGAAAAATATCATCTGTTCTTATACAGAAGATGGTAACTATTTCTCTGTCATGTATAATTGCTCTAAAAGATTTATTCACTGTTAGCTAACCCTGGACATGCTATTCATATATTCTTTTTATTTGTGCCATTTTCATTTTCTCTCTTTTCTTTCCACTCACACTCTTTCTTCCCCATATACATGTAACATCCTGCTTATTTTTCAAATTTCCTGTCTGTTCATTTTCTTGTGTTTCGTTCATATCACTCACTGCAACGATGTCCTGTGACATGAGCTTATCTTGCTCTTGGTCTCTTTCAGTTTTGTCACTTTCAGGGCGGTTTGCTGTTTCTTGTTCTTTACGTGCATCACAGTGAGCTCTCCTGACATCTGTTAAAAGCATAGACAAGATTACAATATGATGTTCTCTTGAGCTAAAATGATAACGCAGCATATAATCATCTCATTTTAACTAAATGATGAAGTGCATATATTGTGCCTTATCTCATAACACACAATGATGTTTAGCTGCTTATAAAAAATAAGTGTAATTTACACTTTGCTTCAAAACCTGTTAGAATAACTTGAGATATTAATTTAGACAGCATGGTGAATCAATTTGTATCTACTTGTTTTGTTTTGTCTCCAGATGAAAAAGACTCCAATCAAAATCAAGATGATGCTTACAGCCAAACTAACAGCCAAACCAATAACAATGGGAGCAGCAGAACAGGATGTGAGCTCAAAGAATTCATCTGAAACAATAAACACAGAATTACATGTTATTTCAACAGATTTTGATTTAGGCTGAATTAAGCATATCATACATTTTATAACCGATATTTACCTGGAACATGTCTGTGTGTCTCTCTGCTCTTGCTGATTTGCTTCAGTTGGACTCTGCAGTGATGTTGTTGCTGTGTCTCTTCTCCACAGTCACTCTGCTGCTGACAGTATAGAGGTCATCAGGACCTCTGAGGGTCTCTGTAGGTCCAGCAGAGAGGAGGTTTCCCTCACCGTCCAACCACAGCAGCTCAGGCTTTGGGTGCCAACCTGCAGACTCACACTGTAACATCACTCCTGTCTTGTCTCTGCCCATCCCTCCTAAGCTGATGACAGGTGAGGAGACAGCACTCGATGCTGGATGAAATGTACAATTTAAAATAATGATCAGTCATGCAAATCACTAAAAATATATTTGCCCAAATGTAAAGATAATATTTGAATAATGGATATCTGATACATTCATTCGCGCTGCCTCATTTTTAATGATAATTCAGATTTTTTTTTATTTGGTCAATAATCATATAGTAAATATTTTCATATAATAATTATAATTCATTTCCCAGCTTGAGTAACAATCAATAACTCAAAACTGTGTTGATTCAACCTAATTTAACTGCACTTTGTACTCACAATGTATATAATTCGTTCACTTACCGACCACAAGATCAATAAAAGCTTCTTCATTCTTCTCTGGGATGTGACATCTGTATCTGCCTTCATCTGCAGGTTTTACTTTGGATAGTTTCAATGAAATGTTTCCATGTTTCAGCTCATCAGTGAACAATGATGATCGACCTTTGTAGGAAGGGTTTTTTCTATTTATGAGTTCCTGACCTGCACGACACACAAGCACAAATCTGGGATCCAGGTCAGGTCTTGCCCACTCCAAAGTCATTGCAGCAACATTTTCTCCTGGTATCAGGTGACATGGCAAAGTGATGTCTTCTTCAGCTGTTGCAATAATTGGCTGATTTGGACCAATTAACCGAGACTGACCTGAGATGAAAAGATCAGATAATTATTTATTTATGCTGACATTTTAATTTTCAAAATACTTTAATACTTTACAACAAATATGTTAATTCTTTGGAAAAATTAACCTCTGCATATTTTTCATCATGACATGTAATTTAATGATGTCACATTTAGTTACAATGTAGATACATTATTTAAATATAGTTACCAAAATTACACCTCTTAAGAAAAAAAAGTAATGAAAAATGTATATGTGCCATTTAAAAAGACAATTTGAGCCACTAATTAAAAACGCACACACAATAATAATTGTGATCTTATATTAGAGGTTACCTACAATAATGTACAAGAAGGACATGCAGAATGCAGTTACTGAGAGAATAAAAGGAGAGTCCAGCCATCTGATGAATTATTCAGCTCTGAAATGAAAAAAAAAAGAATAATTCAAAGAAATAGTCACTAATAAAACAATAACATATGGCCAAGTCAGTTTCATAATTTACATTCAATTCGAATGCCTGGTACTCAGTACTAGAAGATGTATTAGATGTATTTTGTATGAGATGGTACTTTAGACAAGATATTTGGTAAGATATAAATTAGACATGAAAATTTTTTAAATAAAAATACAACATACCTGCTGCAGTGGCACTCATTTTAAAAGAACACACAATCTGACTTAGTAAATCATTGCTAAGTCACCCTGAAACATCCAGGGTATATATGTGTCTGTAAAATCTTACTCAAGAACCTAGAGCCTGTTGCGAGGTAACTGATTACTGTTATAAAACAAATAGAACTACATCAAAAATTCAAATGAACAACAAGACTGTTTCTTTGCTGTCTTTCCACCTTATGAGCTCTCATGGAGTTGTTGTTAAGTCTGCTATAATAGTGCAGGGGCAAAACGGCAGGTGAATTAACTTGAGGGGCTGAAATTGAAAATTTGAAATAAGAGAACTCTCTGTTGTACAGTTGCTGTTCATTTCTTGTCTTTATTGTAGTGGTGGAAGGTAACATCAACATGATGTAGGTGGAGTACATAGTTAAATTTTATTTGAATTCAGAGCTAAATAAGTGACCTTTAGTTGACTACGCTACTTTTAGCAAAAAGCTGTCGGCTGGCCTTTACCTTAATTTGTTTTGCCTACAGTGTTTTTGATCTTGGTTAACTTTTCATTAAATTATTTGCAATAATAATATATGGGTGATAATGCTGCATTAAAGTTACAGTACAATCACAAAGTCTGTGCATCAGTTTTATAGTTCAGTGTTAGTATGTTTTTTCTTTTTGGCATAGTATGGTAACAATTCACGGATATGAATTTCTAAACACGCTTTGTTAGCATTAGATGACAGAATCCTGGCATTAGAAAGTGTGGCATTAGAGAGAAGTCACCATTTTGAACTTTCCATTTAAGCTTCTTATCCACGACTCAAAAGCTAAACATGGGGGGCCCAAAATGAAAGAAACTAATTGGTCATGTCACCGTAGCTTAAATTTGTCTTTTTTTCGGTACATCAATTATTGGAATAAAACTTTAACCTCATCATTTTCAAATCTTGACTCAAAGCCAGTTCTTGAGACGAATATATGGCACCTATGTTTGACCTGGTTCTGTCTCTTGCTCTGTCTATGTTATTGTTTATTTGAAAATGTTTAATCAGTATTGCTTTTACATTTATGTCCGGTGTCACATCGTTGCAGACATATAATTGTCATCCACTATGGGTGATCAAATTTGACATGGATCGTTTCCCGACTCAGCAAAAGGGTTTGTTTTTCCCCCGCCACCAGAGAACAGGATCGACCTCGACCTCAGTTGCTGCCATTCAGGTACATCTCTGAAATCTTGCCAGAGAAAGCAGAGCACGAATGCAAGTGCCACTCATCATACATTGTCAGATTGGCATACCATATATGTATCACAAAGTGACAGCTATATTTTTAGGATAACTATACATTGGAGACGAGCAGTATTCCTATCTTCTTATGTTAAAAAAACCTAATTCACTTAGCATTCCTATTGGGCTTGGTTAGCTTGTGCACTTCGGAGCCAGCTGATAGGCAGGCTGAAGCAAAAACTCAGGTGTGGGAGGAGTTCATAGAGGCCATTGAAAAAGACTTTTGAAAAAGAGATTCTGGCATACCCTCAGACCACTAGGGAGGCCATGAATTGGCCATGAAGATCGGTGTCCCCAGCCTATGGATCAGCGACGGGGGGGGGGGGGGGCGACTGTGTGTCCACTGACAATGTTGAAAAGGAAAGTTTAGCTTTGCAGCAGAAGAGGACGTAAGCCAAGGCTCACAGATGGCTTGGCAGGTGGCCGGCATGCAGGACCACACAACGTGCTCACCCCTGGCAGAAACGAAGCAGTTCTCCCTTCTGGTGAGCCCGCCGTTGGATGGGATGAACGGTGACTCCAACATGGGCTAGGCAAGCCCCTCTGGCACGCTGCCCTCCAGCTCGGGCAAATCAGGTCCCTCTGCATGCTGTCTACGGGCTTGAGCAGAGACGGTTCCTCCCGTGCACAACAGCAATAGTAATAAAGTAACTAATTACTTTTGAAAATAATTAATCAGTAAAGTAACCAGATTACTTTCTTTAAGAAGTAATTGATAATTAGTAACTAATTACTATTTTCAAATAACTTGAACAACACTGCTCATGGGTGCCTTTGATACAGTCAATTATAATACTTTACTTAATAGGCTTAAGGTTTTGACTGGTGTTTCTGGTTCAGCCCTTGAATGGCGTTTCTCCTATTTATCTGGAAGGACATTCTCTATTAGGGTGAACAGTTCTCCTCCTACCCTGCTTGTTTGACCTGTGAGGTCCCTCAGAGTTCAATCCTAGGTCCATTATTATTCTCATTTGACATGCTTCATGAAGCCGGCATCATTTAATCCTTCTCTTTTCTCTGTTTGACCATTTTATGGTAATGACATTTAATTGTACATGTCTTTTAAACCTCACCAGTTGGGTTGTCCAGCTAGGACAGGCTAGGATAGGCAGTTCAACCTACTTCATTGTTTGGATTAGGGTTAGGGTTGTTGCTGGATTAGTGACCAGCTACCAAAAAATTCCCTTGTTTTAAACTCTGACAACACCGAAACCATGATTATAGCTCTACCCGATTTACACTCAAGGATCAGTCAAGTGATTGCTTCTTTTTGCTTATCTGCAAAGACAAGTGGTAATAATCTTGGTATAGCATCTGATTACTCCTTGACCTAGGACTCACATATAAAATCGATCTTCCTGTCTCTTTCATTTAAGGAACATTTCTAAATTTCTTTAGTCTTCTCCTCTGAAGTAGAAGACATTCATGCATTTGCACTTAAGAGATTATAGCATTATTTTAGTGCCTCTATTCTGAGCGCACGTAAAAAAAAAAGATTTAAAAGCACAAATGTTGCATGTTGAGCAAAAAATTATTTTGAGCAAAAAGTTTAATTTGAGAGAACAAAATTCAATTCTGCATGCCAGAAATGAATTTGAGTATTTGTGATTATCCATATTCACACACAATAACAGCCCCTCTCGCTCAGTTGTTGGCATTTGCAATTGCTCAAATGTCTGCTCAATTTATCAAGACATCACATACTTGCAGAAGGGCTCTAATGTTTTTGGAGATGCCTGTTAACCAACAGCTGACTGCACAGCTGATGCTGTGCAAGACAGTGTATATCAGCAAATGATAAGCTATTCTGTCTTGTTTGTTTATTGTCCACTTTGTGCTAGAAAGAGGAACCCAGTGGATGTTGCGCTAAACAACAGCAGCACGTTTAAGCTGGTGGGTAACAGGCATCTCCCGAAACATTAGAGCACTTTTGCAAATATGTGATGTCTTGAAAAATCGAGCAGATATTTGAAGTTTGCACAGCAACGTTCTCACCTGAAAATATCTTAAAAGTATTTTGTGATCAAAAATAGTAATATTTCAAACTCTGCCACTCTGCGTTCTTCCGCCACTGCTCCGTTTGAGTTTTGGACAAAATGCAACCTCACATGTCTGAATTTATGTTTTCATTCTGACATACTGTGTTAACACAATTGATCTAAAATCAGACAAAAACCATAAAATCCGAGTAGAAAAAGTTATATTTTTTACTGTAACAACCACAAACATGTTTAATGAATAATATTTCATAACTTTAAATGCAAATATAAATTGTCAATTTTAAAATCCTATGCACAAGTTTTGCAAACAACAAAGTTATTTGCATCCATTTACCTTTTTTAAATAACCATTTCAAACTATTTACAGAACAATCAGGTGTACACACAAATTATTTGTGCCACTCCAAAAACATAATTTCGGTCCACTATAAAGGAGAACATCACAGCCTGATACCTCAGGCTGACAGCAGCAGGTGTATCACTCCTGTTTCTACCTGGAGACAGCAGTCGCCTCATTGTTCTGACACACAACACAACACTACACATTAACTACACACCCAAACATGCTAAACGTCACAAATCTCTCACATCTCAAAACTCCTCTCTTTCGCTGTCACTCCTAAAACTTCCCTTGTTTTTGTTTTGTTTTGTTTTGGGTCATAAGCAGAGAGTGCTTGCTGCTCTGTCCTTAGACAGTAAACGTGACAAAACTATTGAGGAAAAACACGCGCATATATTGTTTATCATGACTCTGGTTTTACATGGCCTATCAACACAATTTATAAACTGGTATTATCACCTTGTTGCTTTGTCTTTAAGTGGTCGTGATTGGCTCACCACGACTACTTATTCTTCCTCAGTCAAACAGCAGCACTCATGCGATTGTTTTTCCCCCTCAGCTCCAGGTGTGTGCTGGACAGTGATCGTGATTACGTCCGGGGAGCGCGCGCAGCTGCTTAAAGCTGTAGCGTCCAGACCACTTACATAATCAGCTACTTCCGTGCAACTGATATAAGATGCGGTAAACACAGCTTCAACCGTCTGTTTGTTGAAAAATAGTAACGCGACCGCATTTTCTTGTTAGTAACTGTAACAGCGTTGTAACGATAG